TGGAATCACCCGCCTTAAGCAGTTGATTCCCGACATCTCAAACCTCCTGGAAAGTACCTAAACTCTCAAACTCTTCCAGATTTAATTCTCTATGCCAACCGCCACAAACCGCTACTTTTCGCGCTCCATACCCCTACTTTGTTCTTTCTTCGTTCGCTCTCAGCCCCGAAACCACGAAAACCCCCACCCCAAACCCACCAAGGCTCTTGCAGGCTACCATGAAAGACAAAAAGCCTTAAATATCTATGTCTGCGGTAAACATCACGTCACGGTCAATTAAGACTCAAAAATTACACTTTAAAATGCAAGCAAAGCTACGCATTGCAGTTTTCCTTACCTTGATCACTTTTAAAGTGAAACTTGCAGTAAAAGAACTCTCCTTCAGAATTAATGAGCGAGTACGTGTTGGCTCCATAACCGTGCATTGTCCGGTGACTCGCCGGAATCCCTCGATCGGTAAACAACTGCAAGGTTTGATGGGTGCTTTCAGGTCTGAGGGAGACAAAGTCCCAAAAGGCGTCATAGTCTGGCCTAATATTGGTCACAGGATTTCTGGAAACAGGCCGAAAATGTGACCAATTCCCAAAATCAAAACTGGTTGGTTACCTCTTCAAGGCGTGCATGAACATGGGAAAATTGATGGCATCATTCACAAAGAAGATAGGACTATTATTCCCCACCAGGTCCCAAATGCCATCGTCTGTGTAGAATTTAATGGCAAATCCCCTCAAGTCGCGATAAGTATCCGGGTATCCACGCTCGCCTGCCACCTGAGAGAACCTGGAAGCCTCTAAATACACCCCAACCTCCTCAAGTCAGCCCTGAAGGCCTCACCTGACTATTATCGGCGTTTCGTCGCCGATATTCTTAAAAACGCACGCAGCTGAATACGCAGTGATATCATGAGTCACCTGGAAGGTCCCGAAAGCCGCCGCCCCTTTGGCATGAACCACCCGTTCAGGAATTCTTTCCCTGCTGAAGTGGGAAAGTTCATCGATGAGAACAACGTCCTGGAGCAACGTAGGCCCGGAATAACCCACTGTTAGCATGGCTTCTTTTCGACCCACTGGCACGCCGCCATTGGTGGTGATGCTTTCATTGTTGTCCTAAGTTTCTCAAATTTACTGGTTGAAGTTTTCTGGCCATTTGGTACTTACTTGGTGTTTGCTCGAATACTCCAGAAGCACATTGGAAGCGGGATCGCGCGCATTAAAACCGGAAGATGAATGAGCCATTTCTGGTGTTTCACTGTTCAGTCCTCTGGCTGGTGAATATTTATATAAAACCCGATTTTTTTGCGCTGCAAACCGCGCCGTTATCTGTAAAACCGCAGCGACACTCTTTGAACAATAAAAACCCAAACATTGCTTATACAAGGTGTTTATTTGTTGCTCAGTTAAAACTCTATATGGAACTGCTCATCGAGGTGCAAAGCCTGTCTCAATCGAGACCCCAGGGATTTATCCACTGGATCAAACATGGTGGCAATGGCGCGTTTCTGGATAGGCAAAGTGGCACGCTTTAGCCAGTCTACTAGGTTTTCGACCAGGCGGGCCTTTTCATCCTCTTTCAGGACGCTTTGGTAGAGCAGTCTGGCCTGGGTGAAGTTGTCGTCGTTGCCACTATCAATCCTGGAACAGAAACCCGGAAAGTGGTGGAAACTCCAGCATCAGTTAGCAGTCGATTTTTACCTCTTGGCCTCTCCATGCAGTGGAATCGAAGGCGACAACGCTTGAGCTCTTTCATCGTTTTCCGGGCCTTGGAAGCTGTTAGGGTGGTAGTTGGGCGCCCCTCCTTGACTGTTGACTGTGCCATATCCATCCCTGTTGTAGTTGGAAACTTTGTAGGCACTATTCACGGGTAGTTGGGAGTAATTTGGGCCCAGCCGGTACTGATGAGTGTCTCTGTAGGCGAACATTCTGGCCTGCAACATTCGGTCCGGCGACACTTCGATGCCTAAAAAATTTCGCTGTTTTCATTCCGGGAGCATCAGCTACCACACTGGCCCAACCTGGAATCAGATGCGCCACATCCATAGCGATCTGCTCAATTTCCGCATAGTAGTTGCTGGGGTTTTTATTCAGCACGATTCGTCCCACCGGAATCAATGGATAGTCCGCATGTAGCCAGACTTTGGAAAGATCGAAGGGATCATAGGGACTTTTGGCGGCCTGCTCGGGAGTCATAATTTGAATGTAAAAATCCCAGGAGGGAAAATCGCCCCTTGCGATGGCATTGTAGAGATCCCGAGCGTGGTAATCCGGATCCTGCCCAGCTAGCTGCTGGGCTTCTTGGGATTTAATGTTTTTTATCCCTGCAAAACCCTCTGTGAGTGACAGTGCCATCTCTGGCTCAAATTTTTACCTTGATTGGTTACAAAATGGTACTTGACCCAATTGAACTTGCCCTCATTGTTCACGAAGCCATAAGTGTGGGAGCCATAGCCGTGCATGTGTCGGTAGGACCTTGGCACGCCTCTGTCTGAGAACGTTATCAGGGTTTGATGCGTGGTTTCCGTTCTCAGGGAGCAAAAGTCCCAAAACATGTCGTAGTCTGGGCGCAAGTTGGTCACCGGGTTCCTGAAACACTCAGAATCAATCCAAACATTCCCCGGTAAAAAAACTGACCTTTTCATAACGTGAATGAAACTGGAGAAGACAGCAGCATCCTTAACAAAGAACACCGGAGTGTTGTTGCCTACAATGTCCCAAATTCCGTCCTCAGTGTAGAACTTGATGGCAAACCCCCGGACATCGCGCACAGTATCTGGATACCCTCTCTCGCCAGCCACAGTGGAAAACCTACGTTCCAAAACTCCTCAAATCATCCGCACATTCAAAATAGAGAGTGATTGACGTAAATTTCACCTCATGGCAATCGGTGTTCTTTTTCCAATTTCCGCAAAGGGCTTCGCAGCAGTGTATTGAGTAATATCGTGAGTGACCTCGAAGTAACCAAATGCGCCCGCCCCCTTAGCATGCACAACTCGCTCCGGATTACGTTCTTTGGTAAAATGGCTCAGATCGTCCAGAAGCATCACATCTTGAAGCAGCGTAGGCCCATGATAGCCGACTGTTAAGCTGGCATCCTTGTATCCCACAGGGTTACCAGATTGGGTGGTTATGGACTTTTTTCCTTTCTAAAATTGACGATTTGTTAAGCCACGCCCCCAGGCGGAGTTAGATCTTAAACCTTTATAAGAGGGACCTTATCTAGCCACGCCTTCAAGTGGAGCTTTGGAATATGTGAAGGAGCAAAGAAACTTTGGCTTCTAAATACTTAATTGAAATATATTTTTCCACACACAACATCCTCCAAGAAATCAAGCACAGACAAACTCCCCCAAACTCCCCGGCCATACCCCCAGTAACGCTCCCCGAACTTAAAGCCCAAATCACCGCCCTCAAAACCCGCAAAAGTCCTGGTCCCGACCAAATTTCCAACAAAACCCTCAAACTCCCAGAAAACCTCCTTAACCAACTCCTCACCCTAATCAATGCCTCCTTCACCCTCAGAACATTCCCATCCCTATGGAAAACCGCCTCCATCATCCTAATCCCCAAACCCTCCAAAAACAAGACCTTTCCGCAAAATTGGAGGCCCATCAGCCTCCTATCCTCCCTCTCCAAAATCACCGAAAAACTCTTCCTAAGCCGCCTCCTTGACCTAATCTCCGAACACCAGCTAATTCCTCGAGAGCAGTTCGGTTTCATGCAAAAACATGATTCCGTACTGGAAGCTGGCAGGCTATATGAAGATGCCACGATCGCTGCCCAGGACAAGGGCTCCACTGGAGTCATTTGCCTGGACATCCAAAAAGCGTTCGACAAAGTATGGCACGAGGGGTTAATCT